ACCCTTTAGTCCACAGGGGCTGACACTCTATCCACTGAGCCAAACCGGTCAGGGCTCACCAACTCCATCTTTTTTTGTTTTTTTAAATATATTTTACTGATTTTTTACAGAGAGGAAGGGAGAGAGATAGAGAGTTAGAAACATCGCCGCCTCCTGCACACCCCCTACTGGGGATGTGCCCGCAACCAAGGTACATGCCCTTGACCGGAATCGAACCTGGGACCTTTCAGTCCGCAGGCCGACGCTCTATCCACTGAGCCAAACCGGTTTTGGCCCAACTCTACCTTTAGAAGACCTCTGTACCCAAACACTTCTCCCTGCCTGGTCCCTACCCTGGTCCTGGCCCTAGTTGTTCCCCCTGCAGCCGCCAGAGGGCACCTGTGAGCACCTGAGTCACAGCCTCAAGGCCCTGCAAGTCTGGCCTCACACCTCCCGCTCTCCCTCCTTCACAGGCCTCCTAGCTGCTCCTAACTTATTTCAGCCTCAGGGCCTTTACACTGGCGGTTCCCTCTGCTGGGACCTCTTCCTCAAGGCAACCACATGGCTCAGGGGAGACATCTACTGAATTTGCTCTATTCACAGGTCACATTCCCCAGAAAGGCTTCCCTTTTTGGAACAGTGTCCCTTTTTATTACCATCTTGTCATCCCTCGTTTTTCTCCATGGCAGTGCCTGCCACCTAACTTACTGTCTGACCCCCGGACTAAAACCTCAGTCCCAGGAAGGCAGGGGTCCTGGCCTGTCCATGGCTGTGTCTCCAGCATGGGGCCTAGGCCTAGCACACAGACATCGCTACACGCGGACCCAAGTGCCACCCCCACACTAGGGACCCGGTGCTCCATCCCCACTCACCATGAGGTTGGCATTTGCGATGTGGTGCTTGATCAAGCCCCCACCCAGGATGATCATGCCAGAGCGCTTGGCAAAGATGGCCTGTGTGTTGATGAGCCTCAGATCTGGGGAAGAGAACTGTGGTCAGGCCGCGGGGCCGGCCAGCCCTCCTCCCCGACTCCTCTGGCCCCCGCACCTCACCCTCCACGATGTCCAAGACCAGGCCCGGGTTCTTGTAGGAATGGAAAAAGATCATGTCGCCCAGCGAGCCATCTGTGAGTGCCGGGCTCAATACGGGGATGTGGTTCTGGGGGAGTGCAGGACAGGACAGCAGCGGGAGTCAGATCCTGGTGGGGATAGGCTGGTCCCCATTTTGGCAGCATCCCCTCTCTGCCTGATTCTGGGCTTGGTGTTTAACTTTTCTGGGCCTCAGTTTTCTTGACTGTAAAATGACAGTAACAACAGTACCTCCCTCACAGATGAGGAAGCATTTATAAGAAAACCCACCCAAACACTTAGGACCATGCCCAGCACATAAAGGGCAGGCTGTTATTGTTCCCATTGCTGGACTTCATAGCCTCTGAAGAGCAGTGGGCCCTGGCACTGCCCCAACTGCTCCCAGGTGGTGTAGGAGTAGAGCCAGGATATGAGGACCACACTCAATAGCTGCGTGACCTCAGAAATGCTGCCTAGCCTGTGTCTGAAATTCCTCATCGAAGAGTGCAGGTGATGAGAATAGCACTGACTCCCTAGATGACTGTGAAAATGAAACGAGTCCACCCCTCACCTTCTGGGCCCAGTAATACACTGACTCTGGGTGGTTGATCTCCTTGCCGAGGCGGGCAATCATCTTGGAAGGCGTCCACTTCACACCCTGGGAGGGGACATCAGCTTCAGCCAGTGGTGCCTTCCCTTACCGCCACCATGCCAGCCCCCAGTTGTCCCAGCCTCACCTCTGTGTTCTGCTCCAGCACCATCTGGTCCAGAATGGGCATCAGCCAGTCCTCAAACTTGCAGTAATTGTCATTGGGCACCAGCAGGTTCCCAATCCTGGAGACAGGAGGCACATAGGCATCAGGCCCCAGGACCCTCAGTCCAGCTCCCCTGCCCAACACCACTTAGGCCCCCCACCTGTTAATCCCGTTCTCACGTAGCTCCTTCCCCCTGAGGCTGAAATCGCCAAGGTATGTGGGTGCCAGGCACTTGATGAGATCCTCCTCCACGCCCCCAGCCGTAGTAACCAAGACATCCACCTGCAGCCACATGCAATGAGGTTGGCCCAGATAGGCGGACCCTGCCCTCATTCTGGGCAGGGCTCCTAACTCCCAACCCTCATCTAGTAACTTTACAGGAATGTCTGCTGCGAAACAAAACTCAATCCTGTCCCTCTGCTTAGAATTGACCCACATCTCTCTATCTTACGAAAAGACCAGTGATCTTATTGCCCACTGACCCCAGAGAGGTCAAGGCCACAGCCCACCCCATCAGCTCCTCACCATGTTGTGCTGCACGAGATAGCGGATGGTCTCACGGATGCCTGAGCTGATGAGGTTGGACGTGTAGCCCAGGAAAATGGTGCAGCCGGTGAGTGGGCGGCGGCTCTGGGTCAGGTCCTCGTGCTGGTCTTCATCCTGCGGCAGCGGCTCCAGCTTCTTCTCTATCTGTGCGAGGGAGGAGTCAGATTAACCTCTGAACCCGAACTCCAGCCCAAGGATCCCGTGGTTTTCAGGATTACACTCCGCTCCCAAGCCTGCCCACTCGGAAAGAGGGCCACTTATACCAGGAACCAGGGGAGGGAGTGCAACTCCGCCCCTTTCACAGGTTGGCTCTGCGGCACCCCCTCGCTTTGCCTCACTCGGGAATCGGAGCATCTCTGTGGGATTCAGCCGCCTTTCCGCTGGGAGGAGCAAATCCAAGGCCCTGCCCTGACTAGGCTCTTCCAATCCCTCCTTCCAGGCCACGGTCTAGCCCTGGGCTCCTTCCACTTCAGAACATAGACGAAGACTATAAACCGCTCCCTACCTAGAGTCAGTCCCCGCCCCTTATTGATGTTAGGATATCGCTGCGGGGGGCGGGGGGGGAGAATAGTTCCTCTCTTAAACACAGAAACTCCAACCCCCTACGAAGGACGCGCCTCTTTCTCAGGTAAGCCCCGCCCCCCAGGGACTGCACCGCGTTGGTTCCACTAGAGGCCACGCCCCCTAAACTCTGGAAGCCCCGCCCCCCGCCTCACCATGGCATTGATTTGATGAACCGCGCGGCCGAAGTTGGTGGCCTGGAAACCAGTGGTGCCGAAGGCTTCCAGCATCGCGCGGTAGTCCACGCCACGGTTGAAGTCGTAGCCCCGGACCTGGGCGCTCTCGGACGGCAGCGCCGAGCTGTGCTGAAGCA